CAGAAAGAAAAAATCACACGGCCTTAAAAGTAGAATTTATTAAAAAAATAGTCTTGCTGAAAAAAGTTTGAGACCTAGGGAACATTAATCATTATACAATATGTTTGTGGAAGTAGGTCACGTAGTGTTAGGTATTCATGATACTCATGAATATGCGTTATATGAGGTAACATATCATAATTTAATCCTGCGCGTCTTGTGCACAAACTACGAAGAACATTAACATGCATAACATCTGCTATTACGTTTTATAATGTGAAGTCAAACACTGCTTTGTCATTTCGAAATAGATTTAACTGACATAAAATGCACAGATTTTCTATAAACCACGTGATTCATTTGTGGGGTAGAACAAATCACAATGCTAGTTATGTTTTAGATACAATTTAAAGCGAACAAATTATGTCTCTACATAAAGTAGATCTTATATATTATCAAAAAGTATCTTTATAAAATGCGTATAACGACAGTAGGTTGCCTACGGTGATTTTTGAGCACTCAACACTGTGCCATTTAATCCGCGTCGCCTCCACGGAAAAAATACCTCCTGCAGCAGTATTGTCGATTCACGGCGCAATTTACGGAAATAGGTGTCTCTCGCATATCGATGTTGAAATCTGAAAAAGCTTTCTAGTTGAATTTTTAGACTTGAAGTTTTTCAAAAATAATGTGAATATACATTTTTTCTTAACTTTTTTTTATATTATGTGCGCGTTGTGCGTATACGTATCTTTTAATTTTTCCAAAATATTTATTTTTATAAAAGTTCGCAATAAAATATCATAGTATAAATATTGAAGTCGCTATAGAAGTAGACATAGTTTCAAAGTTCTTACATTAAAATACAATAAACGATATGTGTTCAATGGTCTTATATTTTTCTTATAAGGTGGCAAACGAGCAAGCGGCCACCAGAATAGCGAAGTAACTGCCGCCCTCAGATATACTTTCCAGCGACCAAAGTGATGATTACATATTTAACGATAACACTTCTTATTTACTAACAATTTCAATGCCACTACGATTATTACGTATCAAACTAGCGAGTCGATGGCACTGAACGTATTAAAATCATATCGGTTTATATAACTTTGACCACAAGTTATGCTTTACAAAGGTATTTTAATATGAAAAGTATAAGAGCAGCTATTTTGGGCTTACTTATGGGCGGCCAATGCGAGGGTAAGCCACAAAGCACCTGCACTCAGCCGTGTGCCTGGCCGTGCTTTGTTGAAGCCCGGTATTCATATTAAAATATGTAATAAAGCAATATTATTTTATCATTGACGTCAATTCCTTTACGGATATTTATAACTAGCTTCGTCCCCTATAACCTATTTATAGAAAATTGAATTCTTTATATTATTAAAAGTATACTGGAAATATTTCCATCATTCATCAATCATTTTCAATTCATTTTGCTTTCAATGGATTACAAAAAAGTGTTTTCTTTATCCAAATTTGTAAAACTGTTATTTTAATAGCTTTCCTCGTAGTTGGGTAGTCATTTTGAAAAAGTCTGTCTGTGGTTTATAAAGCGACTAGCTGTCGCCCGCAACTTCATCCGCGCGGAATTAAAAAAAAACTTAATTAGTACACTATGTGTTCTATCAGACTATGTTCTACATCTATAACAAATTTCAGCGAGATCCATGCAGCCGTTCTGGAGATACCTTAAAACAAACATCCATCCATCCAAACATTCGCATTTACAATAATAAGAGTAAGATTAAAAAAAAGAACATTTATAAGATTGTGATGTATGTATATTGTAATAAGGTACAAAGTAACCAATTAATCAACATTTACTTTCTTTTGCGTCTTTAAACAAATTCTTCGCGTGGATCGTGGCGATAGCGAGGTTCCTGTCTTGTTTCTCTGAGTTTAGTTGCATTTGTAAATGTTTCACGTCTAATTTCAGCGTCTTTACTTCGTTCTGAAGTCGCATTACTATAGTCCAAAGACTCGGGGAGCCGTGGTGATTGCTCGAGTGTATAGGAAGCGATGGGGACCTCACCAATGCATCTATGCACAGTGAAGATTCGTCGTCGCACTCTGAAAATTATTGACCGAATACATTTAATTGCTATATTTTCTAAATATATATTTTTTTATAATTTTTTTCTATTTTACCCACCTTGATCACATGTAAGGCGGTACTATTATACATTTGAAGACTAAGTTATTTCCGTATTATTATTTACAGTTCAAGACATTTTAGTATTAGTTAAACATTTTATTTCTTAATAATTATAAATTAAATATGACACCTATAAAATAATTCGTTAAATGTAAAACAAACACAATATTAAAAAAAATAATACATTTTGATAATCCACTTATTCATAGGTATGTGAAAATAGACAAATTAATTTGTTTTTGGATTTATACTTCGTTTAAAAAAATAATCGATTACGTTACAAAAGTTAGTTGACTAGATAAAGTATAAATTAATATACCAATATGAAAAATGATTATTTTATAGGAACAGAAAAGTTTTACAGTTGCCTTTAACGAAAAAAAAAATATTATATTAAGTACAAGCGCATCAACACTAAGTGGATTATATAAGTTCGTAAGAAAAACATGTTTTGCACATGTTATTTTTCATAAAGCGGATAAGATTTCTACGAGATAGTGGCTTAGAGGATTTACAATTAAATTTTGATGTAGACGAATATCATATTTGTATTTATGTAAAATCAAGACAGAAACAAATGTATTCGTCTACAATTCAATGAAAAACGTAACAATATTCACCGTCGGCCAAATACATTAAACTTTATTCCATTTCCTCATAAATAAATTACACCAAACGCGATATCCTAATGTTTAATCCCAACATTTAAACCAATCACAAAGACGTTTACATTACACACTGAAATAATCTTTGGTATATTCAATAAAACGAACAAGAAACATACCCAAATACAAAAAGCTGCCAAATTTAAAGCGCATAAAGTGACATCACCAGAAACAAAAATTATAATAATACTGAACAGAATGAAAATTTCATTATTGGTACAGATATTTATGACTTTCAATTGTAGACTTTGAAAGAAAGAAAGTCACTGTTATTTGGTACTCACATAAAATAAATATAAAAATAATTTACAAGATCAAAATTCACCAAAACAGTATCCCCTTAGCCTTAATCACGAAGTCGATGTTCTTTGTAATGGTACCAGAAAAAAAACTTTGCCTCCTAAAAGAATCACGAATTTTATTCGCAGCAAATCGTCGGTCCATCTTGTGAGAGTCCTGCTTACGATCGTTGGCCTTTTTATTAACATCATACTTAATTTGTGACAAAAAATAAAATTTCAACTCTTTCAAACGCTAATATTTTTAGCGAAAATTTAAAGGCAAACACAATTTCTTACAACTATTATAATTCATAAAATAATTTGTTTTTGGGTAAATTTACTAAAATAAATAACATATCCAGATAATTTTGAGGGATCCGTACCTCATAGGAAAAAAAACGGAACCCTTCTAGGATCACTTTGTTGTTTTTGAAATATTAATGATTTTAATATCCACAAATGATTACTTCCCATATAAGTTTTAATTAATAAATCAACTTATTAATATTACTCGTGACTAATCTGAAAATTGACGTAAAATATGTTTTCATACAATTCATTGTTAATGTGATAAATTGTGTTAACGGAACATGTCATAATCAGAAATATATTCGGTTACATGCATCCATGTTGATAACACGTAATAATTTAAATGATCAAATTAATTTTATTTGTAATAAAATTTCTCAGATATTCGACCTATCCTGGACATTTGAAATTAAAAAAAAACACTCGACTTACTGCAAGGAATAACATCGCTGTAAATTAAGAAATAATGTCTAGAAACATGTTTATTTAAATAGAGTTTTTAGAGTAAAAAAGACGATGTTTCGTGTAAGATTTAAGCTAAATGGTTGTCAACAAAATGGTTACATATAGGTCGGAAGCAATTCCATTGATATATTGATTAATTACAGTCACGCAACTCCCCGGGCACATTTATTGGGCTGTGTTAGCTTGTACCAGTAGTGTAAAGTTATAACCGACATAAATCTCCAACACTATTTCATGGTCCTTCGATTTATCCTAATGCTACGATATTGATCAAAGTCTATGCCAGATCTAGGATCAATCGAAATAAACGAATATAGAAGAGAGTATTGTAAGAATATGTGCTTGATAGTTAATGTAAAATTGTCCTAACGGTTAGGGGGTTACAGACGTGTGATTTTAACCCATTTTTACGCTATGCTAAATAAAAATATACAACTTTTGAAAGAATATCTGGTTGTTTTTTTTTTTAAACCATAAAATTTTTTGCGGTTAAATTGATGAATGTACCTTAACAATTATTTTTCTATCCAAAATTAAAGTGTTAAAATATTATCGATTTTGTACATTTTTTTTATAATTGATTTTAAAAGCGTCAAAAATATTTTATCAATCACTACTCCAATGTTGCCAATTTACAAACACAATAAAATTTAACATTATTTGATAACTGGGATAAATATATACATATATTTATACTTTGGCATCTACTAGGTACTTAATCTGTCCAATGAAATGTACAAAAACTAATTTTAGGTATTAAATAAAACTATAAATATCTAAAACTTATATTTCTATTTATATATAACAATATATAAAAATATATATATATATACTACTATATTTAATAAAACCTTGCATATATATGTATACGTATATAATTAACAATATTAATGCACCATTATAATTAAATTTCATTAGTAAGCAATATTTTACAACTAAATCCATTATTTTAATAATACTGCACACGTGCGTGTCAAATAAAGTATAAATTAATCTATGTTAACATAGATAACTATAATAGCTATATGAGAAAAAAAACTATTTATTCTAACACAACGCCATAAACTATAGTGTATCCATGCTTGTAGTAACATACGCTTCGTATATGTATGTTACGTTGTTATAAGAAGCAAATTTAACTCAGACTAACATATTACTGCTTCTAACACCTCCATAAATAATATCTATAGAAAAACAAACAAGATTAGTCAATGAGACGAGGTGTTTACATCTAAAAATGAAACACAAATGATGATCAAATGCGCACACCTGGCTAAAATAATGGCATCGTTACTCGATCCAAAATAAAGCGAACGGAGCAGATGGCTTTAAACTATGTGAAAACGTGTTAGAAGAAGCGGCAATTTAGATTTAAATACCCACAACGTATGATGATAATATTACACGCAAATTAGCCTGCAAAATATCTGCGTATATTTCCAAGAGTTCTAGTGTTTAAGTTGTTAAGTTTAATTAACAAGAGAACGAACACGGCATTAGATTTTGCGGCGTATATTTGGCATAATATTATCAAGGTCGTGTGGAATGTTAATGTCAATCAAAATGATGAGACTTTGTGAGTTGTTTAACGAATGTTCCGCAACACCAGGTGGAGGAGCGAGCGGAGCGAGAGGGGGGCGCG